TGGAACAATAGCGTAGTCAGACAGGCCGGGTCGGTAACAGTGGAGGCAGAGCGGTGCAGAGCAGCAGGCAGAGAGTCGTTGGGTCACAGGCCAGGTTCAGCAGCAGGAGATCAAATAATCGCGAACAGGCAGAAGAATTGTCTCAAACGAGCCAGAGGTCAGGGCAGGAGAAGGTCAGCGGTAATCAGGATCAAGCAGGGTTCGGCAACAATGAGATACTCTCACAGGAACAGGAACAACAGGGAACAAGACCATATGGCAATTTGAGCATTGCAAGAGCCGGTTTAAATAGTGCGCCCTGCGCTGTCATTGGTGCCAGGGTGCCAGGCTCGCGGCGCGCATGCATGGCCGCAGTTGTTGCCTCGGGCGCCTATGTCCTAGTGCCCGCACGCTTGTCTGCATCGGGATTCCGCGCATGCGCAGACCCGTGCGCCGCGGCGAAACTCTGGATCCCTGACACTACCATTTACAGATCATTCCACCATGTTCTTAAGGGGAAGGTAAGGGGGTTATTTACTAAAACTGGAGCTTGCGAATCTGGTGCAACTCTGCATGGAAACAAATCAGCTTCATGTTTTATTGCCAAAGCTTAACCCCTTGGTGCCGACCACCTCCTGGCCCTTTAAGAGTTCTAAAAGCCAGGAGGCAGAGGTGGGCATTCGGGTCATGTAACCGCTGTGATTGGCTGTCACAGTGGTCATATGATCAGTAAGCTCCCGATCGCAAGTATGCATCGGGAACTTACCGATACCCGCTGGCTACCGTGCTGGGAACATGCAGGGAGCGTGTGCTCTCAGCATGGTAAGTCATTTTAACAGTTTTAAGGGTCCACCCACTAAGCGGCTGCATGTATGCGCATGGCTGGCGCCAAGAGGTTACTTGAACAAGCTGAAGTTAGAAGCTGATTGGCTACCATGCACAGCTGTACCAGATTCTGAGTGCTCCCGTTTTAGTAAATCTCCCAATAATACCACATTTGTCGTTAGTTTAATTCTTTAACCAAATTTATGGAAATCTGCTCTCCTAGAGGGAAACCCCAAAAAGGTTAACTGTGTCCAGGGGCGGACTGACAACTCAGGGGGCCCCCGAGCAATAGGGGATCATGGGGCCCCCGGGCAATAGGGGATCATGGGGCCCCTGTGTCCTTGCCCAAACTCAAAAAAAAAACTATGAAAAAGGTACCAGGGGTATCTAATGGGGCCCCCTACTGACCCCAGGCCCTCAGGCAGTGCCTGAGTTTCCAAATGGTCAGTCCGCTCCTGACTGTCGGAAAATATATCTTTTTCCTTGAATTGCTCCTGAAAAGAGCAGAGCATTTACTGACATATGACTGTGCCTGTAGCCTTATAACAAGATTCCTGCATTTTGAGAACATAGAAAGTATATCATGCTGACGTCTGATGACTACTATTTTTACCGTTAACGTCACGTTTGTGCCGCCCTTTGTTCTTCAGAGAACCTGCTGGAGAAAAAAGCAGCACCTGAGGACATGCAATACAAGAAGCTCCAACTTTGTTTATATACTTTCTCTTCTTCTTCGACTAGTTCAGCTAATGCACCTGTATACTCACTATGGACTACAGCGAATTGAATGTTACTAGGTCATTTCCTGTCTGCAATACAGACTAAGTGTAGCTATAAATAAACATAAAAAATAAACACAAGGGATGTTACTTACCTTCAGTAGGATGTGTCCCTTGTGCTGCTGTGTCCTCTTTTACCGTGTTTCCCCGAAAATAAGACACTGTCTTATATTTTTTTTGGCTCAAAAAAAACACACTAGGTCTTATTTTCGGGGTAGGTTTTATTTTTTAAATGTCCAGGTGTGGACAGGGGGTGCAGAGGTGAGCTGCAGGCAGTTGTGGATGAGGATTACTATAGAGAGCGCCGGCTGATGACAGTTGTGAGCTGCAGTCAGGTGTTGCAGATTTGACTTGACAGGTGAGTTTCAGACAGGGTGCAGATATGAGCCACAGACAGGGTGAAGGGGTGATTTGCAGATGTGAGATGCAGAGGTGAGCAGTGGCTGGGGAGTGCAGAGGCAAGCTGTGGCCAGGAGGGGTGCAGAGCTGAGCTGTGACCAGGGGGTGCAGAGGGGCTGTGACCAGGGGGTGCAGAGGTGAGCTGTGACCAGGGGGTGCAGAGGCAAGCTGTGGCCAGGGGGGTGCAGAGCTGAGCTGTGACCAGGGGGTGCAGAGGCAAGCTGTGGCCAGGGGAGTGCAGAGGCAAGCTGTGGCCAGGGGGTGCAGAGCTGAGCTGTGACCAGAGGGTGCAGAGGTGGGTTCCAACTCAGCTCACCTCTGCACCCCCCAGCCGCAGCTCACCTATGCACCCTGTCTGCAACTCACCTGACTCAATTTACCGCTGCAACACCTGACTGCAGCTCACTTTTGCACATCCTGCCCTCCCCCTCCACTGACCTCATATGGTTAGCTAGCATTGAAAAAACACAGCTGTCAGCAGCCAGCCCCTCTCTATAGTAACTCCCGTTTCGGGTCCTATCTTCCTACTCAGTGCACCAAGCACACTTACTCACCGCTCCGCCTCTTCCCCACTGGCCGGCGATCACCCCTGGGGCATCGGCTTCCATGCATTAGGCTGCAGGAGGAGATGCCCCGCCCCTAAACACACTGTGCACTGCACCCGCAGATATCTGTTCCTTCCCTGTCCCACAGTGAGTACAGAAGTAGGAAGGTTCTGTGGGAGCGGATGGTGAGTACAGAGGTAGGGAGGTTCTGTAGGAGCGGATGGTGAGTACAGAGGTAGGGAGGTTCTGTGGGAGCGGATGGTGAGTACAGAGGTAGGGAGGTTCTGTAGGAGCGGATGGTGAGTACAGAGGTAGGGAGGTTCTGTAGGAGCGGATGGTGAGTACAGAGGTAGGGAGGTTCTGTAGGAGCGGATGGTGAGTACAGAGGTAGGGAGGTTCTGTAGGAGCGGATGGTGAGTACAGAGGTAGGGAGGTTCTGTGGGAGCGGATGGTGAGTAGAGAGGTAGGGAGGTTCTGTAGGAGCGGATGGTGAGTAGAGAGGTAGGGAGGTTCTGTAGGAGCGGATGGTGAGTACAGAGGTAGGGAGGTTCTGTAGGAGCGGATGGTGAGTACAGAGGTAGGGAGGTTCTGTAGGAGCGGACGGTGAGTACAGAGGTAGGGAGGTTCTGTAGGAGCGGATGGTGAGTACAGAGGTAGGGGGGTTCTGTAGGAGCGGATGGTGAGTACAGAGGTAGGGAGGTTCTGTGGGAGCGGATGGTGAGTAGAGAGGTAGGGAGGTTCTGTGGGAGCGGATGGTGAGTACAGAGGTAGGGAGGTTCTGTGGGAGCGGATGGTGAGTACAGAGGTAGGGAGGTTCTGTGGGAGCGGATGGTGAGTACAGAGGTAGGGAGGTTCTGTAGGAGCGGATGGTGAGTACAGAGGTAGGGAGGTTCTGTGGGAGCGGATGGTGAGTAGAGAGGTAGGGAGGTTCTGTAGGAGCGGATGGTGAGTAGAGAGGTAGGGAGGTTCTGTGGGAGCGGATGGTGAGTACAGAGGTAGGGAGGTTCTGTGGGAGCGGACGGTGAGTACAGAGGTAGGGAGGTTCTGTGGGAGCGGATGGTGAGTACAGAGGTAGGGGGGTTCTGTGGGAGCGGACGGTGAGTACAGAGGTAGGGGGGTTCTGTGGGAGCGGACGGTGAGTACAGAGGTAGGGGGGTTCTGTGGGAGCGGATGGTGACTACAGAGGTAGGGGGGTTCTGTAGGGAGCGGATGGTGAGTACAGAGGTAGGGAGGTTCTGTAGGAGCGGATGGTGAGTACAGAGGTAGGGGGGTTCTGTGGGAGCGGATGGTGAGTACAGAGGTAGGGAGGTTCTGTAGGAGCGGATGGTGACTACAGAGGTAGGGGGGTTCTGTAGGAGCGGATGGTGAGTACAGAGGTAGGGAGGTTCTGTAGGAGCGGATAGTGAGTACAGAGGTAGGGAGGTTCTGTAGGAGCGGATGGTGAGTACAGAGGTAGGAAGGTTCTGTAGGAGCGGATGGTGCTGTCACTTCAGCCACGCTTCTGTGTTTATAAGAGACAGTAGATATGGGTGTGTGCAGCGCCAATGCCGGAGGTGGTGGAATGGCGTTCCGCAATGTTCCGAGTAGGTCTTATACTTTAGCAATTCCCAAAAATAGTACTAGGTCTTATTTTCGGGGTAGGTCTTATTTTAGGGGAAACAGGGTAGATAAAATATTCCTCCTCTGACACTCCCCACCCTGCCATCTTTTTCCAGCTAAACCTAGGCTTTAATAAGAATTGCACAAATTAGGAAAGAATCAATTGAGTACTGTCCGAGATACTTTTTTTATTTGCACTAACATACAATTTTGAGGACAAGCTTTCGGGGTATGTCCCCTTCTTCAAAGTCCAAGCAGTACTGTTTGGACTTTGAAAAAGGGGACATACCCCAAAAGCTTGTCCTCAAAATTGTATGTTAGTGCAAATAAAAAAAGTATCACGGACAGTACTCCATTGTTTCTGTCGCAAATGCACTAATACGGCTACAATCACCTCAAACATATTAGGAAAATAACACTTATTGACTTTGACCATCAACTCAATCCAGTGGCCGTAATGTAAAATGCTCAAAATCGAGAAGAATTACATTTGTGTCCCTTCCAAAAATGACATGGCTGACAGCACTATGTGCAGCATAATTAGTCAATAGATCTGTCTAAGCTTTTATAATACATCCTGTTAATTGCACCAGAAATGAGATTTTAGATACATTTGGGCAGGTAGCCATCACAATGCAATGTGAGCCCAGAAAGGAGGACTTCTTCTTTGCTCTGCATAGCTTTCCTTCCATGTCAGGTCACACACACAGGCACATGGGGTGACCAAGGGCAGTCACCAGGGAGAATTAGAAGGTCCTTGTCAGTGGTACTAAATACACTGTGTGTGAACAGCTGCATCTGTCAGATTTGTACGCAGTGCCAACCAATGGCTGTTCACATGTAACCACTCACCTGGGCGGATACTTCAATTACCATCTCTACGCTGATGACACACATCAAATCTATCTCTCTACCCCTCACCCCCCCAGTCTCCACTCGTATCACTAGCCTATTAAGTGACATATCGGATTGGATGTCACTCCACTTCCTCAAACTAAATCTTTCCAAAACTGAGCTCCTAGTATTCCCCCCAGCCCGTGCCCCCCCCCCCCCCGACTTCTCCATCAAGATCAACAACACTATTATCAGTCCCTCCACTCATGCCAGGGTACTAGGTGTAATCCTAGACTCCAATCTGTCTTTTCAGCCCCAGGTCCAATCGCTGACAAAATCATGTAGCCTTCACCTCCGCAACATCTCCAAGATACGACCGTTCCAAACCTCGGAAACCACTAAGCAACTCATTCACTCCCTTGTTATCTCTCGCCTTGACTATTATAACTCCCTCCTCATTGGCCGACCTCATCGCAGGCTATCCCCCTTCCAGTCTATCATGAATGCTGCTGCCAGACTCATCCACCTTACTAACCGTTCTGTATCTGCCACCCCTCTCTGCCAATCCCTCCACTGGCCTCCACTCAGTGTCCTCCACCCCTCTCTGCCAATCCCTACATTGGTCTCCACTCGGTGTCCTCCACCCCTCTCTGCCAATCCCTCCACCAGCCTCCACATAGTGTCCTCCACCCCTCTCTGCCAATCTCTCCACTGGTCTCCACTCGGTGTCCTCCACCCCTCTCTGCCAATCCCTCCAATGACCTCCACTCAGTGTCCTCCACCCCTCTCTGCCAATCCCTCCACCAGCCTCCATTCAGTGTCCTCCACCCCTCTCTGCCAATCCCTCCACCAGCCTCCACTCAGTGTCCTCCACCCCTCTCTGCCAATCCCTCCACCAGCCTCCAGTCAGTGTCCTCCACCCCTCTCTGCCAATCCCTCCACCAAGGAGCAGGGCCCTCCTATCCATCTTGTATTGAACTGTATTGTTGCTGTACTGTATCCCTCCATAATGTAAAGCGCTGAGCAAACTGTCGGCGCTATATAAATCCTGTATAATAATAATAATACTTCTAAAGAGAGCGTCTGACTGACTGGAAAAGGCCAGTGTGCATCCAGGGTTGGTGTTTCTGTAGCGTTTGGCACAGAGTGTTGTGTCCAGAGGCAGCGTGTGGCCACTAAACACAGCAAACTGTCAACACTCCATCACCCGTGTGAATGAAAAAAGTCAGAAATTCTACTGTAGGAGGTGAGCTTTGCCTTTTGGTTGTACTGACTTTGTAGAAAGGTTTCTTTGTAGAAAATCCTTTTCCTGACATTTCCTAGCCATGACCAAAATTTCCTGCAGTCCTGGATGTTAGCTTGAGAGCAAAGCAGGGAATTGGCCAGGGAAGTAAGCATTGGCTGGTGATGATGGTGTTGCAGACCATGTTATCACCTCATTTGCTGACCAAATTTCCACTTTATGTCCTGCTAGATCAGATCAGGATGGTCCTTTTTGCAGGTATAGCTCTGTAAAACATTACAAATAAGTGCCTATACTGTTTAAAAACAGCCTAAAGATTTAATGCTGCTCAGGGGCTCTGGGCTGCAGCAAAATGGCTGCCCCAGCAAGAAGAAACAGGAACAATGCTGGAGGCAATTTACAGTACACATTAATTTTGGTAGCACAATTGTTAACCCCCCTGGCGGTATTCCCGAGTGTAGCTCGGGGTAAAGTTTTAGTACCACAAGCGGTAACCCCGAGCTACACTCAGGCTTACCATGCGGCGCTGCTCCGCAATCCCTCAATCACTTACCTTGTCTGCGCTCCCGCGATGTCCCTCCTGCAGTGTCCCCGGCAATGTAATCCAGCCGATGCCGGCATCTGTCATCTGGGTTCCGTCCCCTGCGAGCGTCGGGACGTACGGGGGATGGAACGGCGGGAAATTTGAAAGTTGTAAAAGTGACATTCACTAAAATCACTAAAATCACATAGTATAACATTCCTGTATCAAACCATTTCACATACATTTTGTCCCGAGTGCTTTGTCCGGCGCCCTGCCTGCATTTTTACTGTTCTTATTGCCTGGAAACTGAGAAACGGCCATGGCGTCCAAAAAGCGTCCCTTTGGGTCAAAAGCGGTTTTAGACCGGCTAGAGAACAGCGATAGTAAATCAGAACCACTTGCAGAATTGAGTGATAATGATTTGTGGGGGAAATTCCTCATCAGACACTGAAAACGATTCTGCTACTTTGCTCAGCGATGTGCGAACTTGGCGCTATATTTCAAATTTCAGTGTTTTTGGTTTGATTATATTATTGAATTAAATGTATTATTGTATTATTATATTATTATTATATTATTATGTTTTATGATTATTTATTAAATTATAATTTATGATTTCGTGTTTCAAGTTTTATCCTACCCGGGATGTTTACTAGACTCTTGTTCGGACAGATTTCAGTGAGTTATTCCTAAGAATTATAGGCCTACAATATGTTTGAGGTGATTGTAGCTGTATTAGTGCATTTGCGACAGAAACAATTGAGTACTGTTCGTGATACTTTTTTTATTTGCACTAACATACAATTTTGAGGACAAAAGCTTGTCCTCAAAATTGTATGTTAGTGCAAATAAAAAAAGTATCACGGACAGTACTCAATTGTTTCTGTAGGCCTACAATATAAAACGCCAAATTTCCATGCAAAATAATGGTACCGCTTTCAGCACTAAAAATCTGAAATAATCATACCGCTAGGGGGGTTAATATAGAATGTATGTTTCTCACTAAAGAACATTATTTTTTATCAAGTTGTTATGGGTAAAGTTCCACTTTAAGTGCCAGCAACAGGATAAGCAGCAACTGTACTGTTGGTGGTAGCATGCCAACAGCTTGCCTGCATTTGTTTTATCCCTAGGATCATGAAGACTATATAGAGCAGGTATATATAAAAAATGCAGCGCTATCTGGTATTATTATGCTATATGCAATTAAATGCAAATGGCTTATATGAAATAAAATAAATTATATCAAATCACAGTCAAAAGAAAAAGTGCTCGTTGATTCCCAGTGCAGATGGTAGGAATGCACACTAACCAGAAGCGTATTGGTAATACGCATATGTGTAAAATATCCTGAAGATTCCCCTCTTTTCTGGTCTGGTCATGGGCAGAAGCTCCTTGTGTCAGGGCCCCAGCTCCGGTGACATGCAGCTTCCATACAACTTGGCACACTGTTCATGATACGCTTCTGGTTAGTGTGCATTCCTACCATCTGCACTGGGAATCAACGAGCACTTTTTCTTTTGGACTGTGATTTGATATAATTTATTTTATTTCATATATCCATTTGCATTTAATTGCATATAGCATAATAATACCAGATAGCGCTGCATTTTTTATATATATATATTCTTTGGGACTTTTTATATGTTTTTCCTTGAATGCTCAGCTGCTAATTATTGAGAGCGCTCACTGCATTTGTATATCTACTCCTATATAGAGCAGGGTTTCTCATCTAGGATTCCTCCAGAGGTTACCAGGGGTTCCTTGAGCAATGAGCAAGTTTCCACTAACACCGATGACTTCGTTAGCTATCTATAAGGAGGTAATTGTTCCCAATGACCACAAGTGTGAGGAGAATTCTTGCATTAACCATCACACTAATGTACCAAGAGCAGGGGCGGACTGACCATTGGGGAACTCGGTCACTGCCCGAGGGCCCAGGGTCAGTAGGGGGCCCCATGAGATGTCCCTGGTACCTTTCATAGGCTTTTTTGGGTGTGGTTTGAGTGTGGGCAAGGACACGGGGACCCCATGATCCCCTATTGCCCGGGGGCCCCATGAATTGTCAGTCCGCCACTGACCATGAGTTGTAAATATAGTAATTTTTAGCAGGGGTTTTCTGAGACTGGAAAATTATTTCAAGGGTTCCTGTGTTGAAAAGTTTGGGAAAGGCTGGAATAGCATATATCAATTTGCATGTGATATAATAAAGGGGGGGTCCGCAGTATCTACAGCAGTGTTACTTTATCCACTGGCTGCCCTCAGGCTATACAGCTGCTGCCATATAACAAACTGGCCCTGCTACCTTCATTTAATGGAAATGCTGTACAATCATAAATAGTTGAATATTTACACCCCCTTTACAACGCCACATTCCGCGTTTTCACACACCTTGTGTTTTGCGCAAACGTGTAGCGTTACGCAGCCCAATTATTTTAAAATGTACAGGGCTTGCTACACAATTTCTAAGCATACATATGGTTACACACACACTGTGATGCATAAATAAAAGACGTTTGCTGTATAAGTGCAGAAAGCCCATAAGGCAGTTTGCAGCACATTTGGAAACAATTTACTGGCAATGTGGTACAATACTACATACTGTGACACCAAAGAAATTATAAAAGGTGATTTGGAATGTTGTGTTGACACTCCAAAAAAAAAAAATCACTTGGCTGTGACCTCCTATAGCACAGGAAATTCTATTGATAACTATTACCTGGTAATACTGAACAACCTTACATAAATACAGTTGCAAGAAAAAGTATGTGAACCCCTTGGGATTACGTGGAGTTTTGCATGAATTGGGCATAAAATGTGCTCTGAACGTCATCTAAGTCACAACAATAGAAGAACACAGTCTGCTGAACATAATACTACACAAACATTAGATGTTGCCATGGTTTATTTGCACGTAACATGTAAACATTCACAGTGCAGGGAGGAAAAAGTATGTGAGGCCCTAGCTTAATGACTTCTCCCAGAGCTAATTGGAGCCAGGAGTGAGCCAACCTTGACTCCAATCAGTGTGATGATATTGGATGTGTTGCTGACAGCTGTCCTGCCCTTAAAAAAAACACACCTGTTTTGGGTTTACTGGTTTCAAGAAGCACTGTCTGATGTGAACCATGCCTCGCAGAAAAGAGCTCTCAGAAGACCTACCATCAAGAATTGTTGACTTGCACGAAGCTGGAAAGGGTTACAAAAGTATCTCCCAAAGCCTTGATGTTCATGTGTTCACGGAAAGACAGACTGTCTACAAATGGAGAAAGTTTAGCACTGTTGCTACTCTCCCTAGGCGTGGTCGTCCTGTAAAAATGCCTGCAAGAGCACAGCGCAGAATGCTACATGAGGTAAAGAAGAATCCCAGAGTGTCAGCTAAAGACCTACAGAAATCTCTGGCACATGCTAACATTTTTGTTGACACATCTACAATAAGGAAAACATTAAACAAGAATGGAGTACATGGGAGGACACCACGGAGGAAGCCATTGCTGTCCAAAAAGAATATTGCAGCACGTTTGAAGTTTGCAAAAGAGCACCTGGATGTTCCACAGCACTACTGGCAAAATATACTGTGGACAGATGAAACCAAGATTGAGTTGTTTGGGAAGAACACATAACACTATGTGTGGAGAAAAAAAGGCACAGCACACCTTATGACTTCTGCTGTCTCTCCCCTATCAGCTTTCCCCAACGATCACCAAGTGCTGGCCAGGAATCGCCGGCCACGACTCGGTGATTGACATCTCTAGCCGCCAGAAGCATAGAGATGCAAAGCACGTGTATATATATATATGTATATATATATATATATATATATATATATATATATGTGTGTGTGTGTGTGATGTTGCGCACCACTGCCGCCCTGTAGCAGTACTTCCACTATAGGGCGGAGGGCAAGCTGTTAAATAATGGGGTTTTTTTTTTGTTTTTTTTGTTTTTTTAAATAGAGCTCTATACATCATACCAAAACAAGGGATAGCTGAGGAGGAAAGAGAGGCACAGAGATTTGGTTCTGAAGGGACAGTTGACAGTTTGGCAGTTGATAGTTGACAATTGATAGTTTTGCATTTAGACCCATAGATGAAATTCCAATAATACACACAACAAGAAGTCATGATACATAGCTTTACCTAAACTATGGCTTTTATAAGTAATGTCTATTAAA